CCAAAAAAATTAATGATGGCTAAAGGTCTTGAAACAGTTGATCATACACACACACACACACACACAAATATATATATATATATATATGTATATAAAAAACTCTACACAGGATAACTGTAACAGTGCAACTCTCGTATGAAAAGAAGCAACAAGAGAAAACATTTTCTAGGTCATAGCAGACTAGCAAGATAGGTGATCCAGAGAATTTTAGATTATTAACAGGTCCTAATCCAAAAATTTGAGTGGCCTATCAACAGAATCTTTGCCTGATCTAGGAATGAGCCTTCCTAGCACTGTGGGACAAAATTGGTCATGAAATGCTTCCCAAATGTCGGTTGAATTTATGATCAAGGGGAAGCACTGTGAATGAAAAATGCTGCCCTATCAGTAAACAAAGGATGTTGCAGCCATCAAACCAGCAGCCATTGCAGCTACTCCCAACCGTGCACCCTGTGGGGATTCAGAATGGAGAAAAGAAGGATACTGGCCCTAGATAGTTAAGGTGCAAATCAAATGAATGATTTCAATGAGTCCAGTCTTGCATCTTCCTAGATGTAGAAAAGTGTTAAATTCATTAACTTGACATGTCTGGTTTCCCTTAACAGTTTCTTTAATTAACAGTTATCTTTTGATGTTCCAACTATCCAGTTTTTATTGCAAAACTCCTATACATCCTGGTTCCTCCCTTACCTCTTCGGAGCAGTCCCTCAGAGCAATCTGAGAGGCTATCTTCTAGGCTTAAGTTCTCAGAAAATCCGCCAAATAAAACATAATTCTCAACTTCTAGGTTGTGCACTTTTTCAGTTGACAATCTCAATAAATGCAGAAAAAACTTTTGATGAAATTCAACATCCATTTTTGATAAAAACTCTCCAGAAAGTGGGCATAGAGGGAACCTACCTCAACATAATAAAGGCCATATATGACAAACCCACAGCTAACATCATACTTAATGGTGAAAAGCTGAAACCATTCCCTCTAAGATCAGGAACAAGACAAGGCTGCCCACTCTTGCCACTTTTATTCAGCATAGTACTGGAAATCCTAGGCACAGCAATCAGACAAGAAAAAGAAATAAAAGAAATCCAAATTGGAAAGGAAGAAGTAAAACTGTCACTGTTTGCAGATGACATAACACTATACATAGAAAATCCTAAAGATGCCACCAGAAAACTACCAGAGCTCATCAATGAATTCGGTAAAGTTGCAGGATAAAAAATTAATATACAGAAATTGGTTGTATTTCTATACAGTAACAATGAAATATGAGAAAGAGAAATTAAAGAAACAACCCCATTTACCATCACATCAGAAAGAATAAAATACCTAGGAATAAACCTACTTAAGGTGGCAAAAGAACTGTACTGTGAAAACTATAAGATGCTAATAGAAGAAACTGAAGATGACACAAACAGATGGAAAGATATACCATGTTCTTGAAGTGGAAGACTCCGTATTGTTAAAGTGACTATACTTCCCAAGGCCATCTACAGATTCAATGCAATCCCTATCAAATCACCAATGTCATTTTTCACAGAACTAGAACAAATAATTTTAAAATTTGTATGGCCCCAAATAGCCAAAACAATTTTAAGAACAGAGCTGGAGGAATCACACTCCCTGACTTCAGACTATACTACAAAGCTACAGTAATCAAAACTGTATGGTACTGGCACAAAAACAGACAGAAATCAATGGAACGGGATAGAAAGCCCAGAAATAATCCCATGCACTTATGGTCAATTAATCTATGATGAAAGAGGCAAGAATATACAATGGAGAAAAGACCACTAATTTCAAGAAGTGGTGCTTGGAAAACTGGACAACTACATGCATAAGAATGAAATTAGAACATTCTCTAACAGCATATACAAATATAAACTCAAAATGCATTAAAGACATAAATGTAAGACCATATACTACAAAACTCCTAGAGGAAAACACAGGCCAAACACTCTTTGACACAAATCGCAGCATTATTTTTTTGGATTCGTCTCCTAGAGTAATGGAAATAAAACAAAAATAAACAAATGGAACCTAATTGAACTTAAAAGCTTTTGCAGAGCAAACGAAACCATAAGCAAAATGAAAAGACAACCTATGGAATAAGAGAAAATATTTGCAAATGATGCAACCAACAAGGCATTAATTTCCAAAATATACAAATAGTTCATATAGCTCAATACCCAAAACAAAACAAACAAAAACAACCCAACCCAATCAACATACGAGTAGAAGACCTAAATAGACATTTCTCCAAAGAAGACAAACAGATGGCCAACAGGCACATGAAACAATGCTCAATATCACGAATTACTAGAGAAATGCAAATCAAAACTACAAGGAGGTATCACCTCACACTGATCAGAATGGTCATCATCAAAAAGTCTACAAATAATAAATAATGGAGGGGGGTGTGGAGAAAAAGGATCCTTCCGATGCTGTTGGTGTGAATGTAAATTGGTGCAGCCACTATGGAAAACAGTATGGATGTTCCTTAAAAGACTAAGTGTTACCACATGATCCAGCAATCCCACTTCTGGTCATATATCTAGAGAAAACTAACTCAAAAAGATATATGCATCCCAATGTTCATAGCAGCAGCATTTACAACAGCCAAGACATGGAAGCAACCTAAATGTCCATCAACAGGTGAATGGATAAAGAAGAAGTGGTACACACACACACACACACAATGAAATACTACTTAGCCATAAAAAGGAATGAAATAATGCCATTTGCAGCAACATGGATGGACCCAGAGAGTATCATACTAAGTGAAGTCAGACAGAGAGACACAAATATTATGATATCACTTACATGTGAAATCTAAAAATTATGATACAAATGAACTTATTTACAAAACAGAAACAGACTTACATAGAAAACAAACTTATGGTTACCAAAGGGGAAAGGAGGTGGGAGGGATAAATTTGGAATTTTGGGTTAACAAACTACTATATATATATAATAGATAAACAACAAGGTCCTACTATATAGCACAGGGAACTATATTCAAGATCTTATAATAAACTATAATGGAAAAGAATCTGAAAAAGAATATCAATCTATCTATATATATGCATAACTGAATCACTTCACTGTATACCTGACACTAATACAACATTGTAAATCAGTTATACCTCAATTAAGAAAAAAAAAACCAACTGAAAAAAAAAGGGAAATTGTTCACTAAAACTGAGTGAAAGTGAGATTAAATTTGACTTTGCAAAGCAATCTTAACCAATTATCTGTGTATATAGTAAATAACAAATCACCCTATTGTGAAATCATGACACATTCTCCATACCCAAAGATGATACTCCTGAAAAGGTTCAAGCATTAATGCTTATTGCCTTACATGTTATTAGCACAAAAGCAAATCAATAATTCAGTAGTTTGTTCCTTTATTGCAGAAGACACCTCATAACAAGATTTGAATATACATAATGGCATCAAGTTATTCTAAGATGATAGTATTATACTGGTCTATCATACTTTCTCAGCTGGTTCTCCCTGTGACCAATAAAATACTCAGTGGCTAGGATTAGGAATGTACTTTGGGGCCACAAAATAGTATAAATCTAAACAGCCTACGTAAAAGATCAAAGCTATGATCTTTGCACTTGTTAGCAAAGAATTTAACGTATGCTATGCCCATTGATCGGCAGCCAAATTTTTTTTTTAATTGTTCAATTTGTTCTCCACCCACCCCCGCCCTGTTTTATTGAGATACAATTGACTATTGGTAGCTAAATTTCATACATTTTATGTTAGGGTGTTTCTTCCTAGGTACTTAAAGAAATGTGATCCTACTAGGTTGAGCATACCCTTAAACTATTACTTTATATATCCTTAGCAAAATCTTTTATTTGCATGAACCAAGAGAAACTTCAGACTACTTTCTATGACAAATCACAAATTATTGGGAAATCTGGATTCATGTGATATTATACAAATGCTTCCTTTGTATAGGGCTTAACATCTTACATGATCTCTCCCTATGCCCAAATCCACTGTTCTAGTCTGGCTAACTCTTAATCCCCTCAGATTCAGATCAATTCTATTTCTGGGAAGCTTTCTTGTGCTGCTAAGCCAGAGTGAGCTTCCCTTGCCTGTTGATTCCACAGCATTATGTGCATAGCTCTTCCATAGCAATTATAATTCTATATTGTCATTATCTGGTTTCCTCCAGCACATGATAGCTCCAAACTTATGTTACTGATCTACGTGACCCCCTCACCCAGGACCTAGTACAGTGCCTGGCATGTAGTAGTCAACAGCTGTTGGTAAAATGCATTCCCATACAAATAAAAAACAAAGGGCAGAACTTATTTCTAAAGAGCTTAAAAGAGAAAAAAGTTTTCCTTTTTCTTCCACATCAGGTTTGCAGAAAGATTACTGGGACAGTGTTAGGAAAATAAATGTACTTGCTTACAAAAAAAAATCAGTATTTAGAGATCACTGTATTTGCATGTAAAAATTAATTGCTAGGAACAAGAGTTTTTTCCAACACGTGATGTTTCCTGGCACCTATATTTTATATCTTCTATTACGTTAATCGAACTGAAAAAGATTTCAAAATATACTGAACATTTTTAAAATTAAGTTTTTGACAAAGGCTATTCCCTTGGCTACTACTTCAAGGGCTGGAAGGAACTATAAAATATGAAAGACCTACCAAATGGTCTGACCAGAAGTACCTTGTATCAAATTATCAGGCTAACAGATGGCAAATCATGAACTTTCACGTTTTCTTTCTTCCACGAGAGTCTCCTCAAACCAAATTTTTTCTCTATGCAGTCTCTAAACATTACCACCCAGTGGCACTGAGAATCCTAGAAGCAGCTCAGTGAGGTCAGCTATATTTCCGAAAGCCTAAAGTAGTCATGCAGAACAGTAAAATGGGATCCAAGTATTCATTCCTTCTCACTTAACATACATAAAAAAGGGCATTATTTTCACAGAAAAGGTAAAAATGTATTCTGTCTGATGCTTACCTTTCCTGCACCCATAAGTCTCAAGAACTTTTGTTTTCTTTCTTCATTACCTAAGTCTGCTGCCTCCCAATTGCTAGATCCAAGCTGGAAAAGAAATTAGCCAATTAATCTTTTTTGCATAGTAATAAATATTTAAAAATTTAGAGTCTACCAGTAAATCCCAAGCTTTTTCCCCCTGTCAGTTTTCACTATAAACTGGACTCACTCTTGCTTAGGAAGTTAAGCATATGCATAATATTCGAATTAGAATATACTCCTTTTCTGTTACCTTAAGGGAAAGTCCTTTAGTTCTTTTGCAGCCAGAGATCTGGTTTTCAAAAGTTTATACTATAAGAATTACCTGGAGGGCTGGTTAAAACACAAACTGCTGGGCTACACCTCAAGAGTTTCAAACTTAGCAGATCTGGGGTGGGGCTTGAAGATTTATTTCACTTCTAACAAATTCCTAAGAGATGCTGATGCTGCTGATGTAGGGTACCACACTTTGAGACCTACAGCCTTAGAGCCTTGCAGGGCCCTAGGGTACCTAATACTTTGAACCCAGGAGGCTGCTACAGCTGTTAACTGAACTTAAAACCCTGGCTATATTGATATTCTAAAGAACAGTACAATATCAGAGTCAACTGGACCCAATTTTAGTTTCTTTTTTGAACACTTTCCTTATTTGTAAGGACTGATGTGTGAGGACTTTTTTTTTTAATATTTATTTGGTTGGGCCCAGTCTTAGTTGTGGCAGGCTGCCTCCTTAGCTACTGCATGCGAACTCTTAGTTGTGGCATGCATGTGGGATCTAGTTCCCTGACCAGGGATTAAACCCAGGCCCCGGGCATTGGGAGTGCAAAGTCTTAACCACTGTGCCACCAGGGAAGTACCTGTTAGGACTTTTATTCTTACTTAAAGGTCTTCCAAAGAACAAAGAGAAAATTTACTAATTTTTTTTTAAAAAAGAATAGAACTCATTCTATCTTGTAATTATCAAATGGGTCTATTGAACCCTTTTATAAATCTAATATATATTATGGAATCCTAGTGATATTTTTCCCTACATATTGAAACAAATTTAAGAATTATTTCATTATAATTCATTAATCATTCCCAAATATGCTAAAAATGACTAAAATAATAAGATAGAAAAATGGTAGAAAAGTTTTCTCATCGTGTTGTCCAAAGTGCTGCATCATCTTTCAAGAAGACATCACCCCTCTGTTGTATGCTTCTAGCTCTCTTTGGACCCAGCTGAAAATTTTAATTTCTACTCATGACAACCGAGTAAAAAACTGAAAACTGACAGAAGGCATTTCACAATTATTAGACGAATAACAAGGTGAATGCAAAATGACAGGTAGTGTCTAAACTAATGATAATGGCAAACTTAACTGCAATTAAACGAGTTTTTGGATGATGAAATACTAGATAACTTTTCTCCAACCGGGAGTCAATGAGAGACAAAATAACAAAAATATATGGTACTTTCATCTAGAAAGCCATTCAATAGGAAGAACTTCATCTTGCAATATTTTGCAATATTGCTACAACAGCCTGGACCATCCCGTTTTTCTAAAGAGGTATGTGACTATTTAATATCATCTTTTATGATATTTGTACACCACAATTTACTTGATATGGTTTGTAAGTGGACAAGTACCGAGGGCAGGTGACTAGAAGGAATATAGAAATGAAAAACATTCATTGGATTGATCATTCTTATTGAGTTTATAATCTAAAAATGAAAATGTTTTGCAATTATAGAGCAAAGAAGACAAACCCCGTTTGACACAAAACTATGAGCAATGAAAACACTTCAAAAAAATTCTTCAAGTATCATATTTTGATGATGCAAATCCAAGAACTAAAATAAAGCTAAAATCTATTAGAAACATATTTGAAATCTGAAATTATATGTTTCAGTTTCACACATGACAACTGATAAGCTGTTAGCTATATTCAGAAAATGCTAAACATTTTGGGTATATATATAGTGAAAAATCAAGAAAACTAGGTTTGCTATGGTTCAGTTCATATCAAAATTTCTAATAAAGTTGTTTTTACTATCCTTTTATTCTTCTGAATATTATTCATAAAAGACTAATAGAATAATACATATATCAAACAATGATGACCATCCCACCTGGGCATATGAGAGTTGAAGTATTTGTACCATACTGGACACCCACTTATGGCTATTCCTTTTGGCTACCTAAGTTCCAAATCTCTACTTCTTTCCATCTGACAGTTCATATTTTTTCATAGACTAGTTAGTTCTTAACTGTTTCTGGCTCAATATAGTTAAAACAAAACAAAAAACCAAAAAACAAAGTACCAGTGAGGCTTAAGTTCTGATTCTCACTAAATCACTGTTCCCTGAACCTGGCATAGAGTAGCAAGTACCTTGCTCAAGTGCTGCATTCTAAAAATCACATGGGTGCCTGATACATTCTCAGAGATTCTCCACCAGTTACTAAAATTAACCTCCCCATTCCTCTTACTTCCTGAAAGATAGCTTTCAATTCTCCCCTCTAATCAAACCAATGAAACCATTTTTAAGTTGGCTTCATCCTTAATACCCTTATTATAGAACAGCAGTCAATTTACCTCCTCCTCAGTACACCCTGTAGTAACTCTTAGAATTTATTTCTACCATTGTCAGCGTTTTCCTACAACTGGATTCAATGATTTGTTACCCCCATTAAATGTGTGAGGTCAGTGGGCAAAGAAAACTTTGATTATCTTTTACATGCAGAGGTTTATTAGAAATTGCTGACCAACTACACACTATAATTGGGTTATTTTCTAAACGTAGACATATATTTAAAAAACAAATATATTATATTCTGGGGCTTCCCTGGTGGCGCAGTGGTTAAGAATCCGCCTGCCAATGCAGGGGACACAGGTTCGACCCCTGGTCTGGGAAGATCCCACATGCCGTAGGGCAACTAAGCCCGTGCGCCACAACTACTGAGTCTGCGCTCTAGAGCTCGTGAGCCACAACTACTGAAGCCTGTGCCCCTAGAGCCTGTGCTCTGCAACAAGAGAAGCCACTGCAATGAGAAGCCCTTGCACCGCAATGAAGAGTAGACCCCGCTCTCCACAACTAGAGAAAGCCCGTGCACAGCAACAAAGACCCAACGTAGCCAATAAATAGAATAAATCTATTAAAAATATATATTATGCTTAAAAGATTAAAAACACAAGCACTTAAAGATAACTCCCAATTACCAACAAAAATAAAATTAATATTAAAGAAACTGACTAAAAAAAAAAAATCACCGTCAAGGGACAAGTTACTGCTGTATTGCACTAAAATATAGAATTAGCAACATAATCCTTTTCAGATAACGTGTGAAGGTCCTAGGACCTAATCTTGAATTGCAACTGTAACCACCTCTTTTAAAGAAAATGCTTATAGGATTGGAAAAGGTCTTAAAGGTCATCTAGTTTAAACTGATCCCATCAAAAGCTGTAGAGATTTAATTACTTAATCCCTTTAACTTTGTTAAATTACCTAATATCACCTAGAGTTTTGTGTCAAAAAGATTATTTCTTTGATTCTAGCAAAACAGGTGCTTGACATTCTAGCAATCAAGTCACAGTTAAATACCAGGAGGAAAACAATGTAATAGTTTTTAAAAGGGCACCCAAGTTACTCAAAAGCCTAGATACATTCCTGGTAGGTACTGGCCTACCACATTAACAAGAAAAGATCTCAAAACCAGTTGTAGGGAGGAACAGCAGGAATGAATAAATCTCACTATATAACTATTTGTCCCCAAATCTTTACTGATTACTAATCTTTCTGCACAGCTAAAATCAATTTCAGTAAAGAGCCTTACTATTCTGGACCTAACCCCACCACTTACCCAAAGAGGGATGAGTCTTAACATCATCTCATTTGCTACAACTGATGCACTAACAGTGTTCAGTGAGCTTTCTATAGTTCGCAAAGTAAAATATTATGAAAGGAACTCAACTGCACTATAGAAAATAAACTCTACACATTCAGAAATTGACAGCACTTTAAACAACCTAAAGAAAACTAATGTCCTCCCTTCTTCACTCTTAACTATGACCTCTCCATCGGCCCCCCCACCCCCAGTTTCCCCATCAACGTTTCCATGGCATTTATCCATTGTATGAAGGACCCAGTTTTACGTTTACTGGTTACTGCAGCATCCATGACACCGCGCTAGGGGCTAGTACAAACACACAAAAGGCCTAGGATAAACACCACAGTTATTCATCTTTGAATTCCCAACACCTGGCACAGCAGTAAATATTTAATGGTTTACTTTAAGGAATGAATGCTTTGCAATTTAAACTGGCAACTGTAGGGGGAGGGAGGAGAGGGAAAAGAGGTACTTGACATCGAAACGGGCTTCTACGTCTCAACGTATTAGGCCTCAGCACGGTGCACCAGAACCAAATTATTCCCCTGGTACCATTTTTCCGTTCAATATTTTATTGGTTTACTCTTAATAGTACAGTTAAGTTTAACTCTTAACAGTACATTGCAAAAATAATCCCGGCCAGAAAAATCTGTCCAAATTTGCATGAACATCTTGACTTTATCACAGTAGCATTTTAAGCCTAAAACAGGGAGGATCTTGCCGTTTCTACTGAATAGAAAGGCCCCATAAAGAAGCTTCATCAGCCCACGAACAGGCAAACATGGTCCCTTGACTAAGCTCTTTCACTTCTCAACCATTCAGGATTTCCTTCCTCGATTCCCCTTCCTACGCAGGCCTCCGGCTCTTAGCATGCGGACCTCTTCAAACATTCCAACTCAAATTAAGCAAAAGGGATATTTCCCATTCTTCTGGGTCCTTCCCCTCGGCCCTCCCCCTTCAGGTCACCTCAGACGCTTCCTCCGTCTTCATCCACCCTTCCCGGCCTACCCCAGCCTTTAGTAGGCCTCAACCCTCCACCACTCCGCCATTGTTATTTACATCGTCGTCTGGGGAGGCTGATCGCTTCACCCCGTGCGGATGGGACTCTCTGGCAGCACTCATCGTTGCGGAGACCCCAACGGGAAATGCCGAACCCACTCGCCGTTCTCCTCAGCCGCGGCGCCAGCAGCCTGCAGTCCGTCACCAGCCCAAAGAGCGCCACTCCACAACGCAGAGCCTCTCCGGGTCTTCTCCGCCACTGTCGTCACCGCCGCGTGCGCTCTCCACCCCGGAGCGCTCTGGGAGTTGTAGTTTTCTGGTTCACCACATACCGCCTGAACAAAGGGGACGGAGGGTTGACTAAAACTACAAATCCCAGGAAGCCCAGCGGCGCAGCTCGCGCTGTGTGGCGGGAGTGCCCGCCGAAGCTGCGTCTTCCTCGGCTGGTGGAGGGAGCTTTTCGTCGAGTGGATATGGCGGTGATCCTTGTGCTCAAGCTTCGTCGCTACAGAAAGAGACTTAGGCTGGCTTTTCGCATTTTCCTGTGAGACGCTGCCCCATTGACAAATGCATTCGTTATAGTTAAGCACCTAGGTTTAAAGGTAATGTTTGAGGCTTATTGAATCCTCACGAGTACAGTCACCGCAAGACAAAAACCGTTCAGAAAAAAATATGGCTCCTACCGTTTCCCCCGTGGTGTTCTCTATTGCTCGTAGGTGATTTCTAAATCGGTGGGGCAGCTTTTAAAAAACTCCCGCCAAACATTTTCCCGCTTTCTCATTCTCACTGAAATGAGTTCATATTGGTGGTAAATGCCACTTAATTGGCCATTATTGTAACCAAGGTTCATATGAGGGAATCCTGTAAGCTTTCCATGCGGCTTTATGTGAAGTGGGAGTGACCCTCTTCAACCTCGCGGCTGGTATGTAGGCTTTGTACTTTGGGGGCCTTTTCAAAGTGAAGTCCATCTCTGCGAAAAAGCCTTGTATCTTTTTCTTTTCTTTTTAAGAAATATTTACTTAAAAAAAAATTGAGGTGAAATTAACATTATACAAAATTAACCATTTTAAAGTGTACAGTTAAGTAGCACTTAGTACATAAACAGTGCTGTGCAACCGTCACCTCTTCCTAGTTCCAAGACATTTTCATCACCCCAAAAGGAACTGTCAATACCCATTAAGCAGCCCTTCCCCCATCTCCCCTCTCCCCACCAACCACTGTCAGAAAGAACGCACTGAATCTATAGGTATTACTAGGATACTGGAGTTTAATTCATGGAGTGTCAAGGTATCTGAAGTTTTAACTAGGCCTGAATCTGAACCTCCTTTTTCCTTACTTATTCTGAAGCTTTCTGACCTTGTTCAGAATTTTAATTTTGTTCTAAAACAAGTAAGTACAGTCTGTACAGACAATACAGATGAAGAGTGCATTTTGGTACTGAGAGCAGCCTGTGAAACTGCTTAACTATTAGCTTATGATCTCAGCAGTTACACTAGTTTGCCTGCCTGTGCAGAAATAGTATTACTTTCCTAGATTTCAGATGATCACTGAATCTTTTATAGAACTGTGACTAGTGGAAGACAGTTCTTTAACTTATGCAGTCATGTATTCAAATTTTGCTCTTTTATTTTGGAAGCAAAGGAATAACAATTCTAATTAGGGTAATATTTTTAAAAATCTAAGGTAGGGTCATATTTTATAACCAAGCAAGGGTATCTTTATCAATTAGTTCTGTGGTAAGAATAAACCTTAAGGAGGAGAAGAGTAAACCCATGAGGAGAAAAGGTATTTTGGGGAAGTGGTTGCTTGCTCTTTACTATTAATTAAATTATTTATAGTGCTTTGCCTAACTCCATGATTCTACCAAGTTTCTATTATCATAACTACAATGAAATACAGTTAAGTTACAGAATTTTCTAGGATGGACTACAGTTCATACTCAAAGGGTTTGACAGACTATAATATATATAATTTAGAATCCTTACTTTTGTTATCAATAAACAAATAGGATGGCTGAATAGGTAATGTAGACTTCTGAAAGAATTCTGAAATAAAAAAGGGCCATCAATAAGGTTAGTAGTTAGTAAATAGTTCAAACTTTACTAATTGATGAAAGTCCAGAAAAGTTTAATGAGCTAGTGAACTTTTATTTCTTCACCAGAATTATTGGCACTTGGATGGCTAAATTTTCAAGTTATCATAAAACAAGATTAAAATCCAAGAAGTAACGTAGGAGATAATAAAGTCTGGATCGTTTCATCAGATTTTATTCAGTTTCATATACAGAAGGCTATAGTTAAGGATGAAATTATGCAATGTAATAGAACTGCATATGTGGCAGAAAAACTCGGTAATACTCTTTTTCCTTGTATTTTTTTTAACATCTTTATTGGAGTATAATTACTTTACAATGGTGTGTTAGTTTCTGCTTTATAACAAAGTGAATCAGTTATACATATACACATGTTCCCATATCTCTTCCCTCTTGGATCTCCCTCCCTCCCACCCTCCCTATCCCACCCCTCTAGGTGATCACAAAGCACCGCTGAGCTGATCTCCCTGTGCTATGTGGCTGCTTCCCACTAGCTAGCTATTCTACGTTTGGTAGTGTATATATGTCCATGCCACGCTCTCACTTTGTCACAGCCTACCCTTCGCCCTCCCCACATCCTCAAGTCCATTCTCTAGTAGGTCTGCGTCTCCATTCCTGTCTTACCCCTAGGTTCTTCATGACCTTTTTTTTTTTCTTAGATTCCATATATATGTATTAGCATACGGCATTTGTTTTTCTCTTCCTGACTTACTTCACTCTGTATGACAGACCCTAGGTCCATCCACCTCAATACAAATAACTCAATTTCGTTTCTTTTTATGGCTGAGTAATATTCCATTGTATATATGTGCCACATCTTCTTTATCTATTCATCCGATGATGAACACTTAGGTTGCTTCCATCTCCTGGCTATTCTAAATAGAGCTGCAATGAACATTTTGGTACATGACTCTTTTTGAATTATGGTTTTCTCAGGGTATATGCCCAGTAGTGGGATTGCTGGGTCGTGTGGTAGTTCTATTTGTAGTTTTTTAAGGAACCTCTATACTGTTCTCCATAGTGGCTATATCAATTTACATTCCGACAAACAGAGCAAGAGGGTTCCCTTTTCTCCACACCCTCTCCAGCATTTATTGTTTCTAGATTTTTTGATGATGGCCATTCTGACCGGTGTGAGATGATATCTCATTGTAGTTTTGATTTGCATTTCTCTAATGATTAATGATGTTGAGCATTCTTTCATGTGTTTGTTGGCAGTCTGTATATCTTCTTTGGAGAAATGTCTGTTTAGGTCTTCTGCCCATTTTTGGATTCAGTTGTTTGGGGTTTTTTGTTTGTTTTTTTTGCGGTACACGGGCCTCTCACTGTTGTGGCCTCTCCCGTTGCGGAGCACAGGCTCCGGATGCGCAGGCTTAGTGGCCATGGCTCACGGGCCCAGCCGCTCCGTGACATGTGGGATCCTCCTGGACCAGGGCACGAACCCACATCCCCTGCATCGGCAGGCAGACTCTCAACCACTGTGCCACCAGGGAAGCCCGGGTTGCTGGGTTTTTTTGATATTGAGCTGCATGAGCTGCTTGTAAATTTTGGAGATTAACCCTTTGTCAGTTGCTTCATTTGCAAATATTTTCTCCCATTCTGAGGGTTGTCTTTTGGTCTTGTTTATGGTTTCCTTTGCTGTGCAAAAGCTTTGAAGTTTCATTAGGTCCCATTTGTTTATTTTTATTTCCATTTCTCTAGGAGGTGGGTCAAAAAGGATCTTGCTGTGATTTATGTCATAGAGTGTTCTGCCTATGTTTTCCTCTAAGAGTTTGATAGTTTCTGGCCTTACATTTAGGTCTTTAATCCATTTTGAGCTTATTTTTGTGTGTGGTGTTAGGGAGTGTTCTAATCTCATACTTTTACATGTACCTGTCCAGTTTTCCCAGCACCACTTATTGAAGAGGCTGTCTTTTCTCCACTGTATATTCTTGCCTCCTTTATCAAAGATAAGGTGACCATATGTGCGTGGGTTTATATCTGGGCTTTCTATCCTGTTCTTTGATCTGTATTTCTGTTTTTGTGCCAGTACCATACTGTCTCGATTATTGTAGCTTTGTAGTATAGTCTGAAGTCAGGGAGCCTGATTCCTCCAGCTCGATTTTTCGTTCTCAAGATTGCTTTGGCTATTCGGGGTCTTTTGTGTTTCCATACAAATTGTGAAATTTTTGTTTGTTTGTTTGTTTTTTTGTTTTTTGCGGTACGCGGGCCTCGCACTGTTGTGGCCTCTCCCATTGCAGAGCAAAGGCTCTGGACGCGCAGGCTCAGTGGCCATGGCTCACGGGCCCAGCCGCTCTGTGGCATGTACAATCCTCCCTGACCGGGGCACGAACCTGTGTCCCCTGCATCGGCAGGTGGACTCTCAACCACTGCGCCACCAGGGAAGCCCTTATACAAATTGTGAAATTTTTTGTTCTAGTTCTGTGAAAAATGCCAGTGGTAGTTTGATAGGGATTACATTCAATCTATAGATTGCTTTGGGTAGTAGTGTCATTTTCACAATGTTGATTCTTTCAATCCAAGAACATGGTATATCTCTCCATCTATTTGTATCATCTTTAATTTCTTTCATCAGTGTCTTATAATTTTCTGCATACAGGTCTTTTGTCTCCTTAGGTAAGTTTATTCCTAGATATTTTATTCTTTTTGTTTCAATGGTAAATGGGAGTGATTTCTTGATTTCACGTTCAGATTTTTCATCATTAGTGTATAGGAATGCCAGAGATTTCTGTGCATTAATTTTTTATCCTGCTACTTTACCAAATTCATTGATTAGCTCTAGTAGTTTTCTGGTAGCATCTTTAGGATTCTCTATGTATAGTATCATGTCATCTGCAAACAGTGACAGCTTTACTTCTTCTTTTCCGATTTGAATTCCTTTTATTTCTTTTTCTTCTCTGATTGCTGTGGCTAAAACTTCCAAAACTACGTTGAATAATAGTGGTGAGAGTGGGCAACCTTGTCTTGTTCCTGATCTTAGTGGAAATGGTTTCAGTTTTTCACCATTGAGGACAATGTTGGCTGTGGGTTTGTCATATATGGCCTTTATTATGTTGAGGAAAGTTCCCTCTATGCCTACTTTCTGCAGGGTTTTTATTATAAATGGGTGTTGAATTTTGTCAAAAGCTTACTCTGCATCTATTCAGATGATCATACGGTTTTTCTCCTTCAGTTTGTTAATATGGTGTATCACATTGATTGATTTGCGTATATTGAAGAATCCTTGCATTTCTGGAATAAACCACACTTGATCATGGCGTATGATCCTTTTAATGTGCTGTTGGATTCTGTTTGTTAGTATTTTGTTGAGGATTTTTGCATCTCTGTTCATCAGTGATATTGGCCTGTAGTTTTCTTTCTTTGTGACATCTTTGTCTGGTTTTGGTCTCAGGGTGATGGTGGCCTCGTAGAATGAGTTTGGGAGTGTTCCTCCCTCTGCTATATTTTAGAAGAGTTTGAGAAGGATATGTATTAGCTTTTCTCTAAACGTTTGATAGAATTCACCTGTGA